CAGTGCGTTTATGAACACGCTAAGAAGTCCAAGCTTCCTAACACCCTTTTCTGACAGACAGCGCTTCTGAAACAGCGAGCCCAGTACGCAACATCGACTTTTTCCTTTAGAGGGTATTGCACACATCCGCTGCTGCGACTTTAAGCGGCTTGCTGTCACACAAATCTCTTGCAGTCATAATTTCCTGTGAAATCAAATTTCGGTGTTACACACTTCTTCGGACGGTTGTTGAATCTCCTGTACTTTCACATACACTGTTGCAATTTCACATGGAGAATCGCTGATTCAAAAAAACTGATCGGCTTAAACAGCCCGTTACCCGAAGGCGTTAAAATTGTTTGTACGCAAAAGTAAATACATTTTGAATGCTAGCATGTGAAATATTTTCAGGTCCAAGCGATTTCTTCGTTGCTATCAAAAATTTGTTAATGATATGAGTTCCAAATGGCTTCTTCTTTAGATAAATTATCTTTGATTTTGTGCAACCGTTCCCAGGTTTTGCCAATAACATAAGCTGGAGGTTGGTCATTTCTTTTAATAATAAAAAGCACAGCAATGTACCTTCTTCGATGAGATAACTTGGTGAGTTCCGATCCAAAGTTTATTTTTTTATGCAATTTTAATTTATATTTAGTAATTCTTTGCTTATCGTGAGAATTTGACTTAGCTCAGCTCTTAAGTAGTGATTGGATTTTTCTCTTATATAATTTGAACGCAAATAGTTCGTGTGGAAGCATGTGTGTTGCTTTTGAAAAAACCGCTTATGCCCTGGACTACGGTACAGCGCATTATAAGCACTGAATCGCTGAAAAATCACAGGTCTGTCCTACGATTCCTCAAAAACTAGCACACATTGAGTACCTTTAAGCCTAGTACTCCGATCGGCTAAGAGTTTCACTAGTTGAAAAATCTTATTCTTTGTAGTGTGACCGAAGTTTTCAAAGTCCACCCGCAATGCATGTAGCATGGTCATACTGTCAAAGAGCTGGGTTTGTGGACAAACGGAAAATAAATCAACTGGAGAAATTTATAAAAGAGTCTGCTGGTGCACAAAGATACTTACAAAAAAATTTATGGAAAGTTCAACGAATGTTTTATTTATGTTAATTTGTAGTTTTAGGCTTTTTTCTCGTCCCACGGATGCTTCGCCATCTTTCCATCTACAGTCCAGCTCCGAGTCCCAATGGGCATATTGGACCTTGAGGAAGTGTGGGCCGGATTGGGAACGGGGCTGTTCCGCCTGATGCTGCACGAATTCGCTCAGCATCCTGGTAATGGCTGGTGATGGCTCCTCCAGCTGTTCCTTAGCGGGCGACCTTACTTCCTCGTCCCTATAGAAGCCGGCGCGTGCTCCATTTCCGGTTTAGCTGCCAAGTTGCTGGTGGAGGTGGAGTCCGGTGGTTCCTTAATGGAGAGCTCGTCGGAGATCGAGCGAAGTCCCACTCGGCATTTTTCTTCCCACTGGGATTCTCTAGTGGATCTCCTCCAGCACTTTAACAATTCTGCGGATTTGTCCTGTCGTAATATTTCTTCCTGTCGGTGAAATCCCACAACAGATTGGATTATGCGTCCTTTTTCACCTGCACTGACCTCACTTTTTTCTGGTATTTCCTGAGCTCAACTGAGTACTGCGCTGAAAAACAGAACCGACGAAAAGCGTAAGCCGCGTATTTGCCTCTCGCTTTTCCGTCGGTGAGTACGGCTCTACCGTTGTTGCGTTTGGCTCTGCCGCTGTTGCGTTCGGATCAGTGGTGCTGCAGTCGACGGCTTGATGATTGTATGCCAGTGGTGTGTCGAAACTGCTGGTGCTTTATGAATAAATCAAATTTGGTGGAGTAGATGCAACGCTGTAGTAAAGTGAAGGATTCTTTTTAATCGGGTGATGAAGATAACCCAGTGTAAACAGTGCGACAAGGCTTCTACGTACCCCTTCAAACAAACAAGATGACCTGATATTGTATGGGATTTGACTTGTGTAAATGAACGCAAACGAAGGGTAAACACCCTGCAGTTCCACAATTGAGTATAAAGCCTAGTACTCAGATCGGCTAAGAGTTTCACTAGTCGAAAAATGTTATTCTTTGTAGAGTGACCGAAGTTTTCAAAGTTCACCCGCAATGCATGTGGCACGGTCTTATTGTCAAGCAGCTGGGCTTGTTGCCAAACGGAATACAAATCAATTTAAAAAAGAAGAGTCTGCTGGTGCACAAAGAAGTTAAAATAAAAATAAATGAAATGTTCAACGAATGTTTTTATTTATGTAAATTAGAGTTAGCTTAAGGCTTCCTTCTCGTCCCACGGATGCCTCTCTATTTTTCCCGTGCCATCTGCAGCCCAGCTCCGAGTCCCAATAGGCTGGCCAATAATGGCTGGTGATGGCTCCTCCAGCTGTCCCTTAGCGGCCGCTTTAGCTGTCAAGTAGCTGGTGGAGGTGGAGTCCTCAATGGAGAGCTCGTCGGAGATCGAACGATGTCCTATGTTCCTTCCCACTGGGATTTTTTAGTGGATCTTTTCCAGCGCTTCAACTATTCTGCGGATTTGCCCCGTTGTGGTATTGCTTCCTGTCGGTCAAGTCCCACAACAATGGGCAACAGCTTGAATTAGGCGTCCTTTTTCATCTGTACTGACCTCTTTTAGCCGTTTTTGGTGTTTTTCTTCCATTTTTAATTTCCCCACCGCTTCTGCACGAACACCGCCAAAGATTAAATTTCTTATTCTTTGGGCCGCGGCTAACGGCGTTCATCGAAAATTCACTGGCGAAATCTGGTATTTTTTCTGGTATTTCCTTAGCTCATCACCGCGCTGAAAAACAGACCCGACGAAAACCTTTAGCAGCGTATTTGCCTCTCGATCACTCCTATGGTTAGCTCGCAGTTTTCGTCGATCTGAGTACTAGGCTTAAGCGCATAATCATCATGAAGCCGACTGCGACGTCGGCAGAGCTGAGCGCAACGGCTGCAAAGCGACGCGCTCTCAGTCGGGGTCCGCAAAGAGAACGCACAAAAAGTACTTTTGGGCTCTCTCTCTCTCGCCATGTCTCAGCTGGAGAAATGCGTGTGGGGGCAAGGAGGCCCCGCAATTAAAATAGCTAGACTTTTGTGCAAACTTGCCTTTTGATTAATGCGACATTTTTTCGTAAATGTTGAAACAACCAATTAAAATAATAGGTTTGGGTTTAAAAATATTTGTATTTATATTATTTATTAATATGTGAAGTTTTAAAAATATATTTTTATAAACCGAGTTGCATAGTCGAATATGTCTATAAATACCCTGCTTTTATGTGCAAGGTGCATAGACCAAACGGGACATGCCAAAAAAACAGAGCAACATCGGATTAGCGGAGCCGTTGTTGTTGTTGATTGCTGCTTTTCTGGAATCACGCGCCTTTTTTCGTCTTTTTCACTTGCGTTTACTTATGTGAAGGAGTTAGAATTACCCGCAATTAACGTAGTTAAACGAAATAAACCAGTGGTTTAAAAGTTATACCTATACCATTCGCAGGTAAGTCTGTCGCAGACCAATATTTCTGTAAACAGTGAGAGTAAAAGCAAATAAATGAATCTGTGAAAGAATTTAAAAATCTTATTAAGTGCATAGTTCCTAGAAATCAAAAATAAGAGATGTTTGTTTTAAAAACTTATGTTTGTGGTTAAAATTCGTTAAAAATGAATATTAATAACATTAAACCACAGTTTTTACTATTGTGTACGTAAACAAACATGGCTATTTAAATAAAAGTCTCAATTTGTAGTCCCTGGAAAAGTGTTGATTTTCCCGCAAATGCAAAATAAAAAAAAATTTTCTTAAATAATACAAAGATCTTTAAATAAGGTGTGGTACATTTTTCTTTATAATTTTTTACAAAAAAGAACAAAAAATCAAGTGACCGAAAACAAAAATTTCAGAATTTCTTCTCTTGTTTTTTAAATTTTAAGCTTAAGTTTATTTGTAAGTTTAATTTTTAAAAGACTTCTGTGATTTCCTTGCAAAAGATAAAATTTTCTTTATTATAAATTAAACTTACAAATAACGATTACTTTCGGACACTTGTTTTTATACTCGCCTCGTTCTATTTTCAAAACAAATTTTTCTTCTAATACTAGATGCAATCGCTCTGGTGGAGCCCTCGGAGCCTCCCAAAAAGGCGCTGCAGGAGGCAATGCGGTGCGTGAAGAATTTGAGCTGCACCAAAAAAAAGGCAACTGCGGCCCCAGATGTTGGCGAGGAGGTGCCAACGACTCCGTTAGGACCCGGAACCCCCGAGCCAACATTTTAAAATTAAGATCTAAATAAATAAAAATATACAGAAATTAAATAAAACTGTAAATATATTTGCTGCTACGCGATAAAAAGGTGCCTAACATGTGATTTTTTGCTGTTTAAGTGAGCGCTCAACGTGTGCTGAATGTTTGCTTTTTCCGCTCAAAAAAGCGCTCAATACTTGCTATTTTATGAGCACTGATAAACCCTAGGACATGTCTATGTTAATTTAAGCACTCATTTTCATAGAAATTGTGCGCTCATTAAGCGCTCAGTGATGAAATTTTTGCAAAGATTGAGTGTTCAATAAGCGCTGAATGGTACTGCAGGGTGGATTTTCGATCTTTCTAGTGTGCGTTGTCCGTGTAAAATTCTTTAGTTGCGTAAGTGTATTATTTCGTGTGCTCTCCCAGTCGTAAGTTGCGGAACGTGTTTTAAAAAAACATAGTTCTGGGTCGTACCTTTTTTACGCAAAACAGCACGCATGCAAATTTTCCAAGGCAAATGTGCGTGCTGGGTGCATTCTATTGCGGTGCCTTCTAGAAGTGTTTCAGAATAATGCATCCAGAAGCATGCCCAAACACCCGTTTCGGGAACGTATTCCGAAAGAAATAGTTCTGGGTCGTATCTTTTATACGCAAAACAGCACGCATGCAAATTTAACTAGCAACTGTGCGTGCTGGGGGCAGTCTTTTGGGTGCCATCTGGGTGTATTTCAATGCCGATGCGCATTTTTTTTACAATCGTCTTTTTTCGGAACTGTTCTCTTGACAAACAAATAATAAAGACAAAAGGGAACATGCAAGGAAGCGAGCGGTTTTTCTTGTCTCTTGCATTTCTCGTCAGTTGCATTTTTAGTTCTGAAAAGTGAAGTTCGTGCCACGTGTTTTGAAAAAGTTTGTTGCTTTCTGCCACCAATTTTACATCAATATTTTCACAGGTAAGTAAAGTGTAGATAATTTAGTTCAATATGAACACAATAAAATAACACAGTACATGTACACTGAACATTCAAACTAAAAACATATTAAACAAATAAAATAATAACTATTTGTATGTAAATTGTACATACAATATAAACATATTGTATATTTGTAATGTATATACACATATTTCATATTCAATTTGCTTTATATTTTTCAGAATCGCAAAAAATGAATGGGCACACCAAGGACTGAACTGCGTAAATGACAAAAGTACATAAACAAGAAGGAAGCACCAAAGCACCGTACAGAAGGGGAGTTACTCCGATTAAAAATTAGTTGCGTTTTTGAATATTGAAATGAAAATAAATATGAAATTGAAATCCAGTTTTATGTATTCCTGGGGAAAACTTCCAGATATTTCGTTTTTGAATGCTTCTAGGTGCATTCCTGGGTACATGTTACAGGTGCATTAAAAATGAGTACACCCAGAAGGAGTTTAGTATGTTGCTTCCAGGTGCATTAAAAAATAATACACCCAGAATGTGTTTAGTATGTTGCTTCCAGGTGCATTAAAAAAGAGTACACCCAGAATGTGTTTAGTTTGTTACTTCCAGGTGCATTCCAGATATATGCTTCCAGAAGCATGCAACGGGTGCATTCTTTTTTGTCCCGCACCCGTGTAAAAAGAATGGACATAAAGTATATATGTATGTATATTCTTGATCAGCATCACTAGACGAGTCGATCTAGCCATGTCCGTCTGTCCGTCCGTTTCTACGCAAACTAGTCTCTCAGTTTTAAAGCTATCGGGCTGAAACTTTCCCAAAAGTCTTATATCTTTTGCAGGTAGTATATAAGTCGGAACCAGCCGGATCGGACAACTATATCTTATAGCTCCCATAGGAATAATCGGAAAAAAAAAATGTTAAAAAATTATATCTTTGGTGTTTTTTAGCATATAACCTCCTAAGCTTGGAAATAACATTTTTTAATTAGTTTTGAATTAAATTTTATCGAAATCGGACGACTATATCATATAGCTGCCATAGGAACGATCGGAAAATTGGTGGAAAAATAAAATGAAACAAATTATAGCTTCGGTGTTCCTTAACATATAACCTCCTACGCTTGTAAATAATATTTTTTAATTAGTTCTGAATTTCGAATTTAATTTTATCAAAATCGGACGACTATATCATATAGCTGACAAAGGAACGATCGTAAAATTGGAAATAAAATTTTTAATTAGTTCTGAATTTTTTTGAATTTAATTTTATCAAAATCGGACGACTATATCATATAGCTGCCATAGGGACGATCGGAAAATTGGTGGGAAAATAATATGAAACAAATTATAGCTTCGGTGTTTTTTTTAACATAAAACCTCTTAAGCTTGGATATGACATTTTTATACCCTTGCAGAGGGTATATTGATTTCAGTCAGAAGTTTGCAACGCAGTGAAGGAGACGTTTCCGACCCCATAAAGTATATATGTATGTATATTCTTGATCAGCATCACTAGACGAGTCGATCTAGCCATGTCCGTCTGTCCGTCCGTTTCTACGCAAACTAGTCTCTCAGTTTTAAAGCTATCGGGCTGAAACTTTCCCAAAAGTCTTATATCTTTTGCAGGTAGTATATAAGTCGGAACCAGCCGGATCGGACAACTATATCTTATAGCTCCCATAGGAATAATCGGAAAAAAAAATGTTAAAAAATTATATCTTTGGTGTTTTTTTAGCATATAACCTCCTAAGCTTGGAAATAACATTTTTTAATTAGTTTTGAATTAAATTTTATCGAAATCGGACGACTATATCATATAGCTGCCATAGGAACGATCGGAAAATTGGTGGAAAAATAATATGAAACAAATTATAGCTTCGGTGTTTTTCAACATATAACCTCCAACGCTTGGAAATAACATTTTTTAATTAGTTCTGAATTTCGAATTTAATTTTATCAAAATCGGACGACTATATCATATAGCTGCCATAGGAAGGATCGGAAAATTGGTAGGAAAATAATATGAAACAAATTATAGCTTCGGTGTTTTTTGACATATTATCTTATACTACTGGGAATATCATTTTTTGTGTTTTTAAATTTAATAATTATAGCTGCAAAACTTGCCGAAGCTAACTTTTTTTTCTTGTTTTTTTCTCAGCTTCGGGGCGCTGCTGCGACAGAGGTTCGTCCTCGCAGAGCAACATAAAAATTGTGCAATGCAATATTTGTTCATAGAAAATATTGATAAGGACGCAGAATGTGTAATATGTAATTGCATTTTTCCAATTAGTAAATTATATAATATAAGAAGACTTCATTTTCTTAAACATTCGCACTTTAAGAAATTAATTAGGGGCGTGATGGAAAATTGTTAGAGCTAAAAGCAAAATGTTTTCTAATTACATGTTGCGCATACAATTCCGAGTAAGACAATTTAGCTTTGAAAAAACGTCTTATGTCGTAGCGTTAGCTTTAGCAAAGCAATGACGCCCATTCACCGATGGAACTTTATTTTTAAATTTAAAAACACCTTGTTAAATATTTTTTTTATGGTTTTTGGATTTTTAGGCCCGTTATTATTTTTATATATTATTTTTTTATATTATTTTTATATATTTTTTATAATTATATTATATTTGCGGATTCTATAGTCTTTAATTTTTGTGTTTTCTTTTGTTATTTGGTATTTTATATGTTTTATAATCTTTCCCACGTTTTAAAATTATTGAAAAAAAAATACCCCCATATTTTTGATAGTGCAAAGCAGAGAAACGTCACGCTTTAGCGCGCTCCCTGCAAGTAAAAGGGCGATTTTTATATCGCCTGTCGTCCAGAAGGCACTTTTTAGTAACTTCTGCGCAATAGCAACACGATTCTAAGTCACTTCTGCACGATAGAAAGACAATAGTACACATTTTATAAAAACAAAAAGAGTCAGGATCGCGAACAAGTAACTTCTGAGACACTTCTGCGCGATAGAAAGACTATAGTACACATTTTACAAAATCAAAATCAGTGGGAAAAAACACGCGATAAAAAGAAGTCGCGGTAATTTTCCGGTACCCCTTTTTTTTCGGAAAATTTCTCGGGTCTTCCTTTTGGCCCACTCTATTATTTTTCGCCCGAACGTCATTTCGCTGCGCGATTTGTCTGTGGACAGTGCGGTTTTGTATCAAATTTGTGCGTTTATAAATATAGCTTTGTTTTTTCTAAATGTTTTTAATTGCTTAACATATTTTAATGTCCCTCTCAACAATGGGTGCGAAATTACGTGCTTATCGTGAGCTGTACGATTATTTAAAGCTATTTAAGGACAAGCTAGCTGTGGAGATTACTTGGCTTGGAACTGCGGAGAAACACAGCATCCAACGATTCTCTACATATTTAATTGTAAAAGGTAATGTCTTCTAGTTTATTTTTACTTTGACTGAACAAAAAACAATTTTTGATTCGTAACAGGCAGAAGGAACCGTTTCCGACCCCATAAAGTATATATATTCTTGATCAGGCTCACTAGCCGAGTCGATCTAGCCATGTCCGTCTGTCCGTATGAACCCTGAGATCTCGGAGAGTTACAATACTGGGATTAGGCACGCAGATTCCTGAGATTCCTGCGCAGCGCAAGGTTGTTTCAGTAGAGTGCCACGCCCACTCTAACGCCCACAAACCGCCCAAAACTGTGGCTCCTACAGTTTTGATGCTAGAATAAAAATTTTAACTGAAAGGTAATGTTCTTATCAATACCTATCGATTGACACAAAAAAAGTTTGCCACGCCCACTTTAACGCCCACAAACCGCGAAAACCTGTGACGCCCAAAATTTTTATGCTAGATGAAAAATTTTAACTGAAATGTATTGTTCTCATCAATACCTATCGATTGGACCAAAAAAAAGTTTGCCACGCCCACTATACCGCCCACAAACCGCGAAAACCTGTGACGCCCACAATTTTCATGCTAGATAAACAAATTTAACTGAAATGTATTGGTCTCGTCAATACCATTTATTTCATCCAAACGTACTGTGGCAATGTGACATCTGTGTGGTGGTAAATGAAAGCTCTGGAGCGGTTGTATCCGAGCTTTTCTACCAAATTTTTGGATGCATTCCCACCTTAAAGTGATGTTGTTAATCAAAATTTAAACATAAATTCTAAGCCTCGTCTTAACCGAAAGCTGCCGATGAAACCATAGCGCCCCATACATAGTCAACTGCTGCTGATTCCTCTTCTGCGGTCGCTGACCCTCCTCCTATTGAGAGAGGGAATTTTATCCAATTTCGAAATATGAAGAAAAGGAACAACAACAAAGGTGGCTAAGGCACAAAAGAGAATGAGTGATGCTCTAAATTCTTCACTACACATACCTAGCAGCCTTTATAATACCAAATCCATTAAAGGCCCACCTTTACCATCCCATCTTATACTCTTACTCTTTCAGTGAACGGTCGTGTTTTTGTCTTGCGCTCCGAATTTTTGTTCTTTTTGTCCATAAACCATCGGGGTTTAATTCATATTTTCATACGTCTATATAACTTTTTATGTCCCTAACAACATCCGTTCGCTTCGCGAGTGCATAGTGATTGTTTTGTGTTTAAATTAACAAAATTAGTTTGCACGTCTAATCTCTGTGCAGTGTTTCTTGTTATTGTTTTTTTTAATTGCCTTCTTCTTTTCTTCCAAACAATGTTTGGAGCGGTGGTAGTTACCCGCTCTCCCGCACTCCCGCTTATAACTTTGTTTTTGGAACATCTAAAACTTACGCTCCCCCAGCTTACTTACTCCCGCTCATTCTCTCCCGCTCTCTAACTCTCTCTTTTACTTGCGTAGCCTTATTCTCTTGGCACTGTGGTTCGGAATATCGCGATAATGGCTGTCTGCAATTTAAAGAAATGCAAGTCGTTAATTTCGGCTGGACAACAGAGCATTCCGTGCCATTCGTGTGAGAATATTTTTCATGCAAAATGCCTTGGCTATTCGGGCCTGGTACGCGATGCAATCGACATGAGAAGTGGCTTGCGCTACTATTGTGATGAATGCATTGCTTATGAAACCCAGGCACTCTCTATAAGGCGGCTTACAAAAAGCACTGTTACGGAATTAATCCGGAACAGCCGTAGAAATACGGATCTGCTTGTGGCGCTAGAGTCGCAGCTCACTAGCCGTGTGCTATCTGAGCCCGATTCTCCTAAGCGTAAAAAGATCGCGGTCGATAGACAACCCATGGTAGCCGCTAGTGAAACTCTCTCTGGCGATCCGGGGTCTGCAGCACATCAGTCGATCTCAGCTGCCGCACAAATGATACTGAGATCGAAAGCTAAAAAGAGTCGGTTTCCGAATGCAAAGGACGCGAGATTTTGTTGCATGACACTCCC